AACCATAACATCATCATCTTCAAAAGATGCACAATTTATTTAGCCCTTATGAGGTTAGTTGTCACTATGTGTATCTAGGATTCTAGGGTTCTAATAGAAGTTTTTTTCTTTAGTGAGATCAAACCCTAGACATCATGTAGAAGCTAGACCTTAACTATTGGTGGTGACTTTGTTTGAAATGTTGATACTATTGGAGATGAGTGGTCCTTTCGGCTATGTAATTTTCAGTTTTACAACAAGTGATTGTAATAAGATATAACGTATCTAAATCTATTATAGTTGTTCTTATTGTTAGACATTTTTTAGAGAAAAGAAACCAGAAGATGTGGTTAGCGTAGAGTTAACTCAATATGTTTAATTTAATCAATCATTTTACATTTCAAGTCATCATATTCCACCATATGGCACATAAGGCTAGGGTGAGAAAAAACCGAATTGCAAGATGAAAAATCGACATTAAAAACCAAACCAAACAAATAACCAATGGTGTGGTTTTTATTTTGTAAAAAACCAAGTATTTGCAGTGTGGTGTAGTTTTCCGTTAGATGAAGCATTGAAAAAAACCGCACCGCACCAATTCGTAAAAACCGCACTGTGTGATCTTTTAAATATCTATATAATGTATATTACCTATTTAATATTTTAAAATATATTATTATTTTCATGTTTTTTTTTTCAAATACAGTTAACTAACATAAGTCAAGAAACGAGATTTCACTTTCAACCTAAGTTCCAAAATAGATGACGATTTAGTTCCAAGACTTACGATATGCATATTTTTCCAAAAAATATTATTTTAAGTCTTCTTAAATATGTTTTATCTACAATTTTGATATTTTCTACCATTTTAGTCACTAACTAGCCACAAAGTCGCTTTACATTTGTGTTCGTCTTATTTTAATCCCAAAGAAATATGGATAGAATTCACCGGCGTTGCGGTTTTAAAACCGCTCCAATGTAAAAACTTCACCCTAGCTATTGAGGTTTATATAAACCGAATCGCAGTTAAAACAACAAATCGCACAAAACACAAAACTGAATCAACCATAAACCGCACCAAACTGCATCACGTTCACCCTACATAAAGACCCCAATGCAATAGTTTTTTACAAATGACAACTTCAATTAACAATAAATACTACTAATAAGCCATCGCATGGTTTTTCAAAATCATCTTCTTTAACATGACATCCTTACATCGCAACATCTTAACTCCTGCTTAGTCGTTACTCTAATTTTTTATTATAAGTTTATAACATACTTTCAACATCCATTAAAATTTATCACTTGTCCACTTTTATCTCATTCCTTTAGGATTTATATCCCTTATATAACATAAGAAACGTAAATCAACTCGCTAATCACTATTTCAATCTCAAAGTTACCTTTGAATATGTGTTTCCAAATGATCATTGTAATGTTTAGAAATTTAATTATTTGAATTAAAAAGAATTAGATCATTACCCAAAAAAACAAAAAACAAAAAATTGGAAGACTTTATTTGGGAATTAAAATAGATGCAAGTTGTTTTGTTGTTGTAAACCAAGATGGTTAGTTCTTTTAAAGACGTTTTTCTAAAAAAAACAAACAACTATTGGCTCTTAATGTGGAGTTCTCCTTCAATTCCCCAATATTCCCACTTAAATCATAAGAGTTTTCTTATAAAACTCAAGATACATCTCTTAGATACTTATTTAACACTAAAGTAGCATTGAAAATAATCACCTAGACAAATTCTTGTACTTAATAAACAATTGATTAAGAAAACATTAGTTACCACTAACTTTATTAAATCAAATCACAGTAATACCATTTGCTTGTTTTAATTCCATTGTAGTTGCATTTAATTATATTATAGTTTAACTAATAATGAAGGGTATTTTTAATAAAATATATTAATACACTATTATTTTGAGAAATAGAAATATATGTTTATTTAGAAATAGACTACTATTTTTTTAGACAAACAAAAAGAAAACATAGATATCAATATGGTCGGAAGAATATATAATATGATGTTATATATATATATATAATATATATATATATATATATATATATATATATATATATATATATATATATATATATATATATATATATATATATATATATATATATAGGTAAATGTTTAAATGAGAATCACAAAAGAATAAAAACCCTAAAAACTTCTAATTGTAGCTTTTTAAAAATAAATACTGGCATTATTGTAAATAACAACACATATCAGTTTAGTTTCACAAATAATTTATCAGATCTTGCAAACTAGATCTAAAAGCTAGATCTGATTCTTTCTTTCACAGTTCTCAAAAAATCAACCCATCAATTCTCTCTCTTATTCCACCGGTGGCAGGAACCTTTAGCCGCCATCGCCGCTGTTGCCGATGTCCACCTCGCCGGAATCCAAGTTTGCACTGTCGTCGTCATCCAGATGTGTGATTTCTACCCGAGATCCACCTGATCGAACCACCAGATACATAGCTAGCTTTGTCCTCCTCCACCTTCAGAGCTATGATGTTTGCTGGTAGCTGCACACCACCACGACGACATACCTCTTCTGACGATATCATCTTCTTTATCCTCCACCGTCACTCCACCAGATCTACAACCATATCCATCATTTTCTCTCCGTTTTCTTGTGAACCAATAAATCTACATCAGATCTCTCTAGATCTGGATCAGCTCTCATTAGATTTGCATCGGATATCACTAGATCTGATGTGTTTGCGCATTTTCAATTCGGATCAGATTCTGGTCGGCGTACCAGATCTCGAGATTAACAAAGTTTCGAATGCCGGATCTACTGCCTAACACCAAATCTTCATCAAATCTGATGTGTGTGTGATGCATTTTCATGTATGGATCAGGTGTATCTGGTGCATTTCATGTTGGCTTGCATCAGATCTGGTTTTTTGAAGATAAATATTCAAAAAAATCAGGCATGTCGATTTTTATAGATAAATCTCCTTTAAGTTTTATCTTTTACTTGTTTTTCTACTTACATCTGTTGCAAATCTCTATGATATATTTTTTTTTGTTGTTTTTTATGTTAAAGTGTGAATTTGATATTTTAATCTCTCATTTATTGTATAATTGTGTTAATCTTAGTTTTAACTGCTGTTAAGTTATGAATGTATAATTTTTTTTAATTAAACTTTGAATTTTTTATACTCGTTTGTGGATTTTCTATATTAAATTGTGTATTAATTGTAATAAGTGTTTTAATTTAGTAATATGGATGTGAATACTATTTTTTGTATTAAAATGTGAATTTAGTGTACTAAGCTGTGATTTTTGTGTTTTAAACTGTGAATTGATTGTATTAAGTTATGAATTTTCTTTTTATGCTACGAATTGACTGTATTAAGCTGTGAATTTTCTGTTTGAACTGTAAATTGACTAGATTAAGCTGTGAATTATTTATATGAAGCTATGAAGTTACTTGTGTTAATTTAAACTATGAATTTTGTGTATAAACTTTGAATTGAATATATAAAGAGTGTTAAGTTGAAAATATAGTTGTGGATGCTTACTTTTCGTGTATTAAACTTTTAATTTTGTGTACTAAACTATGATTTTTGTGTTTTAAATTGTGAATTTTCTTCTTAGATTATATTAAACTGTGATTTTTGTGTTTTAAACTGTAAATTGACTGTATTAAAATTTGTATTTTCTTTTTAGACTATGAATTGACTATATTAAGTTCTGAAATTTTATATATTAAATTATGATTTGATTGTATTAAGTTGTGACATTAAGTTGTGATTATTTTATAATTTTTTTGTTTGCTTTTGAAATAATGTAAATTTTATTCACAGCTTAATATATTAAATTCACAATTTAAAATACGAATGATTTATGTATAATTTTTTTTTATTAGTTTTATTCTGAAATAATTATTTTTTTGTGTTGTATAAGTATATAAGAATACATTAGTTTTAATAATAGTTTTGTGTTAAATTCAAATTGAGTGAAATAAATGGTTTTATTAAATTGTAAATGTAGTATTTAAGTTATTAATGTATGACTTTATTTACATTTAGAAGAAAATGATAGTTGCGATGCTAGTACAAGTGGTTAATGGCAGCATGTGGTGGTGGTGGTAGTAGTAGAGTTTGAAGTTTTGATTTATTTCAGTTTGTGAATTATTGTAAAGTGGTTTGCACTAAGTTGTGAATTAAACTATAAATGAATTGTATAAACTTGTAATTTATATAAGTTTTGTGTTCAAATATAAGAGCATATAAGAATGAAAATATTATACTGTAAAAATTACCATTTTCCCCTTTTCGTATCAAAAAAGAAAAAAAAAATTGGATTTTCACATGTTTAATAAGAATATCATATAAGTATTTACTAACTAATGAAGATTCTTAGGAGGTTCTCATTTAAACCACTCCTTATATATATATATATATATATATTATATATATATATATATATATATTATATATATATATATATATATATATATATATATATATATATATATATATATATATATATATATATATATATATATATATATGAAAAGTGAATATGTGTAACTAAATTTGGGTATAGAACCCTTGAAACGTGGTCGTTTATATAAAAATCAATTAACACTTCTTTCTTTTAGTTTCTCAAATTATTCAATAATGTTTCCATTACCATTTCTTCTTTTTATCCATTTTTAATTGCTCTGAACATCATTGTGGAGTTCATTTCCTAATGAAAGCAAAAGTCATAAATATTTACTATGGCGTTGGTAAGACCGAACTTTACCAATCAATATATGTGAAAAGTTTAGAAAGATAAGCTAAACCCGTGTCCAGTTAAAAGGCGGATAAATCCAAATTAATGGATTGGAAAATATTAATCATTTATTTTATTTTATTTTATTTTATTTTTATTAAAATTATAGACAAAATACTTAATTTTTTTATGCATGTTCTCTATTTAAAGTCGTGCACTGTGAGTTTTTTTATTCAATTTAATAGAGATGTTGCTTTCTATCTTTCGTGCTACAATGTCTCTTTATTTCTTTCTTATGTTCCAGAGAAGTCCCACAAGAAACAAACTTTTTGTGTTTACTCCATTAAATTTCAGCCTTCATACTTAAAGCGTACACGATGACATTTATTTAATCCAAAATCACTTCCTAGAGAAATCTTTAACTTGCACGATCGAAGACTACTAAGCAATTAAACTTCTGCATCGCTCGAATGATCGGGTCTCTCCCCTAATTAAACCACTTAAACCTTATCATAAAGGTTGAAGGCATTATATATATACTATTTAAGAATTGATGGATATGTTTGCTGATCTCTTCATGTTTTTCTTCATGAAGAAAATGACCTACACCTTGAAGCACGGTTACTTCGTCCAAAAGAGGCACATCTTTTTGTAAACCCTCCTTTTTCTATATAGTCTCTAGCACCCATCGAGTTGTAGGTCAGGTCAAGGTCACCCACGATGAACTTAACAGGTACCTTCACTTGAGCTCCGGTCCATGGGCCAGTTAGCTCCCAGTTCCTGTAAATCCACAAAAAGAGTTTTCTTTTTGTCCATTTTTACTAAATTAAACAAGTTCAACTTAATTAGCTAGTTCGAATCTAACTTACAAGTTCAAAGCTCGATAGTAGTTTAGACCTCCGGTGAAGCCAGTTTTCTCATATTTGCTTGTGTAGTATTCAAGATCTTCTTTGGACATCCATGAAGGCAAGATTATAGGATCATCAGGTGAGGTTCCGAACCCAACACCCTTGGGTAGAAAAAGGGGGGCAGGTTTGCGATAATTAAAGAAATTATTTAATACTCTATCTGTACCCCATACCGCAAATTCACCTTCGATTTCTCCAGGTTCCTAGACACATTTCATATGCATACAGAGTGGTGAAGGATAGTTAAAAAGTGACGCAGGTGGTTGTGTGTGGAGTGTGGTGAAGGTGTTGCTGATGGGAGAATTGAAGAAATAGAACCTGAAATCTGATGATGTAGTAATCGTTTCCATAGAGAGCACGAAGTCCATCGATAGGTTTGAACTTAGGATTCCTTGGACTGAAAGGAACACTCATATTCACCAAGGCCTTTACTTTATCTGGCCGATAAAGACATAAAGCCCAGGCAATCATTGCACCCCAGTCATGTCCAACTACGAACACCTTGTCCTCGCCGGGGCCACCACGGTGTTGATGAGCGCCACCAGATCTCCAACCACATGAAGGGTGGTGAACTTGGTGGATCGGAGACTGGAGCACCAGTGGTGTCACCGTAGCCACGGAGATCGGGTGCCACAGCACGGTAACCATGTGAGGCGAGATAGAGAATCTGGTGTCGCCAGGTGTACCAGAGCTCTGGGAAGCCATGGATGAAGAGGATCGTTGGCCCTGTGCCAAGCTCTGCTACATGCATGTTTATGTCGTTCACTGCTACCATCTTGTGTTGTATCTTCTCCATTTTTGTATTACTGTGTGTGTTTTGTGGTTTTTTTTGGTTATGTGTGTAAATGTTTTTGAAAACTAGTGTGTGGATATATACTCCTGATGTGTGGTTCCTGTAAGATGTGGAAGATGTGAAATGGCGGCCCTTTTAACGAAAACATTTATTAATTTTTAAAACATAAAGTAATATATACTAGGTTCTTACGTAAAAGTGAATCAATAATACATAAATATATTTTTCTAATCTAAACAGAATTATATTCGAGTTCTTTATGAAAAAAGACAAAAGTGTGATCCAATAAATTATATTGTGTTTATTGAGTTTTTAATCTAATACTAGTGATTACAAAACTTAATTACTAGATTATTGTACTTTAAACTTTATTTACCAAATGATGGTAAAAAAACAATATGGCCCCACTTTTTATTCAATAACACTGTTAGGTATGTTCAAGGTACACGACGTTTTTGTAGTAGACACCCATAATGGAAGGAACATCGTCCCGACTAGCTGTTATGGTAAGCCTCATTACCACTACAACAACAAACAACCTATACCATATAGGGATGAGCAGTGGAAGCGGGTACGTGCTTTCGGAACCGGAACCGCCTCAGAACTGTCAGTTCTGGAACCGGAACTACCTTAGGCGGTTCCGGTTCCAGTTCTTAAAGTCTCAAAACCGCCTTAAGCGGTTCCGGTTCGAATTATCATTTTTTAAAAAACCGATACCCGCTGGATATCCGCCGGTTCCGGTTCCAATACCGGGTACCCGAAACCGGCGGTTAACCGGAACCGGTACCGCCTCTTAATATATATATATATATATATATATTATATATATATATATATATATATATATATATATATATTATATATATATATATATATAATCTAATATTAATATTTTAGAAAAAGAAGGGGGCGTAAATTCCTCTTGCCTTATCATTTTTAGGGTTTGTGATTTGTGACTGAGAATTCATTCTCACAAAAAAAACGCAAACACTCACACAGTCACACTCCCTCTCGCTATCGTAACTTCGTATTTCGTAAGGTGCCGACACAGCGACACTCCAATCTCCCGTCTCGCAATCCTTTGATTCCCTGGAGTAGATTAGTAGAAGACGAAGGTAGACAGTGGACTCATTCGATTCTTAGACCCCCGCTTAGTCGCTCACGTTGTTTTGTCTGTTCAATCGACAAAAGAAGAAAGCTAATTGTCGATGCAAATCGCCGACCATCGCTGTAAGCTTACAACTACAAGGTTAGATTCGAAGTCTCAAATAGTCAAACTGTTACCTTTCAGAGATCAAGATGGGTAATATAGTCCAATTTGATTCAGCTCCTGCCTCTATGAAATAAACATAAACTTTCCATTGGATATGGAATGAAATAACTTATAGTTTTATACGTATGTGTTTTGATTTACTGATTTAGTGCCCTGTATATGTGTTTTGATTTACTGATACCCGTGCCCTGTATATGGAAGGAAATAACTTATAGTTAATAATCCTTTCAACTTAAATGCATAACAACGACTGTTTAAGAGCTTAAACTAAACCCAAGCCAAACCCTATTTTAATTTATTGAGTTATTGTACTTAATAGCTCATATGGACATGACATGTAATACTTAGAAATTCACTATTTTTTTTTTTTTTTTTGTGTTTTGTGGTCTCAAAAGTTCATTGTATATTTGGTTGTTATTGATTTATGTTTGTTGTCTGAAATTTTAGGTTCAACAATGGAAAGTAGTCGAATTGATGTTGACTTGGATGGTGAAAGTGAAGGCTGTTGAGCAAAACAAAGTGCCGGTAGTTGGGGCAAAAGGACATCAAACGCTTGGCGCAACTACACCAGATGTTAGAGATCCAAAGACGGGCAAGATTATAAAGGCGCAATGCAAACATTGTTCCAGAATCTTGACAGTTACTACAAAGAATGGTACATCATCTTTGGGTAAACATAATGTTGTATGTTTACAGAATCCTGATAATATTGATAAAAAAACAAAAGAAAATTAGCACTTTAGAACAAGTCAAAGTGATGCGACTACCGTTTCTAATTGGGAATTTAACCAAAATACAATCAGGCTTGCTTTAGCAAAAATGATTGTCATTGATGAGCAACCATTTTCATACGTTGAACGTGACGGGTTCAGATATTTTTGTAGTGTTGCTGTTCCACAGTTTTGTATCCCATCACGTTTCACGGTTGCTAGAGATATTAGTAAAGTGTTTCTTTGTGAGACGGAGCAATTGAGAAATACCTTGAAAAGTTTGAATTCTAGGATTGCTCTTACTACTGATTGTTGGACTTCTATGCAAAATTTAAGTTATATGTGTTTAACTGCTCATTTTATTGATGATAATTGGAAATTACATAAAAGAATTTTGAATTTTCGTAATATTGATAGTCATAAAGGAAAGGAAATCGGGAAAGAAGTAGAATCTTGTATTCTTTATTGGGGTATTGAAGAGAAGTTATCTTGCATCACTGTAGATAATGCAAGTGCTAATGATGTAGCTGTTGCTCATATAAAAGACAATCTAATGGATAAACTTGTCTTAGGAGGTGAGTTTTTCCATATGAGATGTGCCGCCCATATTTTAAACTTGATTGTTAAAGATGGTCTCGATTTGATTAAAGATGCCATTGTTAGGATTAGGGGTGCAGTTAGATATGTTAGGAGCTCTACAGAAAGATCAAAATTGTTTGATACTTGTGTATCAAAATCAAAAATTTCGAGTAAAGCATCGGTATCTCTTGATGTACCAACACGGTGGAACGTCACCTACATTATGTGTGGAAACGGCACTTAAGTTTGAGAGAGCTTTTAAAAGAATGAGACAAGAAGACCCCGCATTTGAGAAAGATCTTAAAGATGGATTTCCATCCCAAAAAGATTGGGAAAGTGCTAGAAATTTATCTCTTTGTTTGAAGCAGTTTTTTGAAGCCACGAAAAGGATGTCGGGAACTTTGTATGTTACGGCTAATATGCACTATCATGAGATATTAGGTGTACTTGCTTCCTTGTTGGAGTGGACACAAGATGAAGATATCAATATTGTTCTTATGGGTGATCAAATGAAGAAAAAGTTTGACAAGTATTATGGAGACTTTGGAAAAACAAATGTGATGGTGTTAGTTGCGGTTGCACTTGATCCAAGGTATAAGATGAGGTTTGTGAAGTTTTCTCTAAGAAAAATCTATCCTTTAGACTTCAAGAAGGTTGAAGAGCTATATGCTCAAGTGTTTGAGGTTTTGAATCAACTATATAATCATTATTCTAATGTTTCTTCAAGGGGCAAGAATGATGGTTCTAGTTCTTTCAATACAAATGATAATGATGGTCAAAATTTTGATGGTGTGGTTAAGAATAAGCAAATGAGAAAAATATATGATGAGTTTTATGAAAATGATGTTGAAGATGCTATGGAAAAATCTGAATTGGAGGAATATCTTGATGCTCCACCCGAAAAAATGAATAATGAAACATTTGATATTTTGAAGTGGTGGAGTGACAAGTGCACAACATACAAGGTGTTAGCATCAATGGCAAAGGACATTCTAGCCATTCCGGTTTCTACGGTTGCTAGTGAGTCCACTTTTAGTACATCCGGACGTGTGGTTGATGACTTTCGTAGTAATTTGCTTCCAAAAACGGTGGAAGCTTTGATTTGTACTCAAGATTGGTTAAGGGCATCAAATGTTTGTATTGACCTTGAACAGTTACTGGAAGATGTGGAAAAATATGAGGAAGGTAATATGGAAGATACACTTTTATTTATTCTTTTATTTTATGTTTCTTGTATAATATTTAATATTCTAATTTGAATTTTTATGTTTATTTCCACTACAGAAATCAGTCGCAATATGGAAGATACACGTGGAGGGAATAAGTAGTTGATGTTTTTGATGTTGGGATGTTGCTGTTTTTGCTGCCTGTTGTTGCTGTTGCTGTTTGCTATTTTGCTGTTGCTGTTTGGTGTTGTTTTGCTTGCTGTTTTGCTGTTTTTTGCTTGTTGGTGGTGCTGTTTTGTTGTTGCTGTTTGGCTGTTTTGATGTGCTTCTTCTGCTGTTTTTGTGCTGTTTTGAAACTTGATAAAAATTGTTTGCTGTTTTGCTATTGCTGTTTTGACTTTTGTTATTGCTGAAAATTGTCATTAAATTTTCATTTTGTTATATTACTTGATAAATTCGTGTTTTGAGATCAAGTTTTTATGATTATTTTAGTTTTATATTACAGTCCTAGTCTCCTATTGTTTATAAAAGTTTATTTCAATGAAATGTATACAATAAAAGATGTAATTTATCAAGAAGTCGGGTACCCGGAACCGGAACCGGTTCCGGCGGTTCCGGTAGCGGTTTCAATTTTCTAGGAACCGGTGTAGGCGGTTCCGGTTCCAATACCCAAAAACTAAGAACCGCCGGTTCCGGGAGCGGTTCCGGTTCCGGCTAAAATAGGCGGGTACCCGGTTATGCTCGTCCCTATACCATAGCCAATGAAAACCGATGTCGACCCCCCTCTTTGACCATACTAACGGTCAAATTTTCAAAATAATAATAATAATATTTTTTTTTATCTATAAATACATCCCATTTACCTCAAATTCATTTATTACATTTTTTTTCTTTCTTTATATTTTATAAAATTTCAATACTTTCTAAAAAATAGATATGTTCGATCGGTCCAAAGATGATGATGATGGTGATATCTTCGTCAGTTCGATCCACGAGTATTCCAAACCCTGTTACTACAACCAGATCAAGTTCATCTACTAACAAGACGTGCAATTTTAAATAGAAATCATGAAGAGTGATACAAACGTCTAATTCACGATTGTTTTGCAGATATTAATTGTGTTTACCAACTTAGCGAAAACACAGACAACTTCGAAAATACTCGGCGAATTATAAATACGATG